CAAAATGATCTAAACGAACTAGGTCTTGATTCATTAACTCGATCATCGCCATAGTAGTTTTATTCTCCATTGCAATAATATCTTTTGAGATTGTTGGAAAATATGGTTTTACATATAAGGGGATGAAGAATAAACAAATAATCAAGATGAAGAAACAAAAAAGAAAGCTTAAGCAAGTAATCATTGTCTTCAAACGACATTTTCCCCCCTCTCGGATTGAATGAGATGCTTAAAGGAATTTTGGCAATTTGCAGGATTTATCAAGTTTTGAAAAGGATTTATCACTTAAGCAGTTAGTGTAATCCTTCAAAACTTAAGAACACAAAGAATAAATTAAATATGATAGAGAAAATACTTTGATCCTTTTGTTGAATGGAAGTTATGATTGTAAGTGATTTTTCTTATGTTTCTATTGAACACCAATCACAAATTTATAGGCCTCAACAATACTCCACGAAGTGATGCCAAAGCAAGATGAAAGTCTACCTGAAATTCAAACAAAAATGGTGATTAATGGCTAGTAAAAATGTTTTATGCGGTCGCATAAAACAAACCTATGCGATTGCATTAAGGCCCTGCAGATACATATGCGACCCTTTTGGCCTATGCGGTCGCATAGGCCAACTTCTTGGCCTTACTATTCCATTTCCATTTTCATTCCACATGCAATTTATTGATTTTGAACAACATTCTACATCCTTTTCCTAGCCTTTATTGAGATCCTCAGATGGCCATTCAGCGAGGAAAGTGGTTCCGCAAGTGATTAGGGATTTGGATCTTTTTGATGAGAGATTTCCTCATCAACGTTCATCATAACTACTGGGCTGATTCGCCCTTGTTTATCTACCAATAGAAAAATGAGTTTTGGAATGGTGGATATTGGAGAATGTATGGTTAGAAAAACAAAAAACAAAAAACAAAAAACAAAAATTAACTTTACGTACAAAATATTTTATTATGAGAATATATAGTTAAAAATGAGTTTGAGAAAAAAGAACTTTAAAATAATGGTGGAGAAACAGGGTGATAAATGTTGGTTTAGTGTATTTTTAGCACGAGTGCCTTCCAAGTGCTATACCAACATCCAAGATTAAAAAATCCATAGCAAAATTTCGACAGCTAACATTTTCATTAATACTTGATAAAATAATCACAAAGAGTTCAATATCTATACTAGCAGCCAAAAGTGATAGGAACTGGATCGTGTAGATTTCGCAATCTCCAATGCAATATACTTGTGAAATATAGATAAAATACATTGAAAGAACAATATAGAACAAAAGAATTTTTGAAAAAGAATTATTATGCATTGTTTTGTGAAGGAACATCTTCGTGTCGACGGCATGTGAACTGCCATTATGGAAACTTTACCCCCAAAAAATAAACTTTCCTTAATCATTGTAGGGATAAACTTAAAAGATACTCATGTTTGGTTCTTCGTAGTTAGATCTTTCTCGTTTCTGAACGCAAATACAAATGGCGTGCCCTTGATTTAACCTAAATTTTACCCAAAATTAACTAGTCTTTCAAGTAAATGGGGGGAAAAGATAACTGTATTTATAAAAAGCACCTTATGCATAATAGAAATCATCTTTATATTTATAGAGTAAATTTTTGCACACTTCCATAACGCTCTCTATTTTAGGCTTTAGCTCTTCATTTTACCTTTTCAAGAAGAAATTTATTAATTTCTCCTTATTTTTTATTTATTTATTTATTTTTTGTATGTAAATGACCAATCAATTCAAATACAATTGAAATAATTTAAGAAATAAAGTATAAAATCTATAGCTTATTGAATTAAATCATTATAAAGTAAAAATAGAGAGAAGTTAGTCTGGATATACAAGGGAAGAGTTCACAGAACCTCTCCAAAATATTCACATGGGTGCACCTCTTGTAAGTAAAATATTGCAAAAAAAAATCTATCCACCCCCTTATTGTGTGTGTTTTGGAGGGGTTCTGGTTCTGTGAACCCCTCCCTTGTACACACAACACAACTCAAATACAATTGAAATAATTTAAGAAATAAAGTATAAAATCTATAGCTTATTGAATTAAATCATTATAAAGTAAAAATAGAGAGTGAGTTTGCCTTGGACTTGAATATATAGAAAGAGTTAAAATTTTAAGTTTCATCTGTAAATTAAAACATTGTGAATTTTATTTTTCTCAATTTAATAAAATTTATTCATACATGATTTTAGATAAAGTCCAATTAATAACATTATGGGCTTGTTTGACATGGAATTTGCATTCTATAGAAGAATTTCCTGAGAAAGTTATCTTAATTTTCTTTTAAAAACTAATTTTCAAAAAAGTTTCTTATTCCAGAAGTGTTCTTAGATGAGGCTACATTAGATTAACATCATTTAAAAACTTTTCTAACTAGAAGATGTACTTTCATAAATTTGGTCAAATGAGTAAAAAAATAGCTTTTGTATCTCAAAAGTTTATTTTAACTTTTTAGAAGTCATGCTAAACGGGCTCTATTTGCATTTACAAAAAGTTTACAAATATTCACGCAGGATAAAAAAATACAAATTATCTTATAAACAATTTTACTTTTTCATAGTTTAAGTTGGATATTTATTTAGGTTTAAGTTGTAATGATTATCGAATTGCTTTGTCTAGACCAATGATAAGATCACCACATGACTCATACATGTTAAATTTTACATGTGAGATTTAGTTAAATCATTTCAGTCAAAATGAATTAAATTTCAATGAGAGTTGTTTGTCTCTTATTTAGCACGGTGTTATTAGCTCTTTCTATCTAATTTCGAATCATTCATTTTTTGTGGATGAATTACTATTGGCAAAATAATTCTAACTCGATATACTCTACAGTTGGTATAAAAGTAATTATTTAAGACCAAAATTAGCACCGGGAGTTTGTATAAAATCATGCTTTGGTGTAGAGAAAGTGTTGGAAAACAATGGACATGAAGATGGAAACACCAAATGGAATAGATTTACAAGACTTGAATATGTTGATGAATGTTGTCCTCCAACGATATTTGGCTCCTCTCCAAATGTTTTCAAACATTCAAATGGCAAATAGTTAGGATTTATCAAGCCAAAAGAAAGAATACTAAAGTACATGTAATTTTTTTTTTTTTTCAAAATGAACTTGGAGAAAACTTGAAAGTGTTTGATGTGATCTTGATGATTTGAAGTAACAATATGGATTTCTTGTGTTAATTCATTGATTAAGAATAGAAAACTAACTCATATTTATAGTATTTCAATAATACACCATAAAACCAACTATTCAGAACAAGTTGGAATACATTCATCAAAAGACACCGGAACAAACCAGAAAATCAGCCATAACGGTTAGTTTTCAAGTCCATGCGATCGCATGGCTCGAGGGAAAAAATCCCTAATTCCTGCACGTGGACACCATGGGATCGCATGGGCAAAAAATGCCTCCACCATTTTTCTTTTTATTGGCATTCACTTGATTCATCCACAATAAGGCCCAACATGTGGCCTAAGTATCAAATCTCCATTATAATATCATTTTGAACAATAAGTACAACGGTAAGCTACATTCCTCTAATTCCCCATGTACTTAAGGAGGTAAGGGTTTTCACATCCCTTCCTTGTTTGAAAACATTCATTGATACTATATCGAGTAGGGGCAATGCCGAACTCCCTATTTTGTGTTTCGGTAGGACCTAAAAATGCTGCCGAAATTTGTTGATTTTACCAAAAATAAATAAAAATTTTCTTCCATCATTCGTTTTATTTAATACAAATAAATTAATTTGGGTCAAAACTTCTAACAAGCTGTAGTTAAAAAATTTAGCAACTACACGAGGCCATGAGTGGAGAAAAACTTGCTGTCCACTATGCTCTGACCCATCCATGTAGTTGATTTGTTAAAAAAAGACACATTCAAGGTCTGAATCTAGTTGAGATGTTGTGTTGACAAGATGAGCCAAATCTAGTCCCAGTTTGCACACTCAACTAGAGCTAGAATACTTGGCCTAAAGAGATGGAAGAGGGCCGGTTAGAAACTATGCAAAACCTAAATCACTTGTGTATTCGAGAAGTGAAATATACCTAAATATACTATCTTAAGCCAACTACCTCTAAAAGCTCATTTAATCAGATAAAATTCTTTCAAGAAAGTATTTAAACATGTTTAAATGCAGCTTTCCATTCTTACAAATAGTTTTCAACTTTTCAAAAGCTATGTCAAATGACAAATGGGTCTTTAGACTCCAGTTTCAATTCTTTTTTCCTCTTTCCATCTATATTGATTTGTGATGGGGTCTTTAGGCTCCGAGACGTTCAAATGAACCACTGAGTGGTCTACCATATCTTAGACAAATTATATGTTAAATAAACTCGAGATTATGCTGTCCCAACAAGTACCTAGCAATAGAATCTCAACAAAATCACAAAGGTACAAAATGAAAAAGTTGAAAAAGAATTAATTAAGAGGAAAAATAAGTTACTGGGAATTTGTTTACCTAATGCACATGGGCTCTTGCTTCATGAATGAAGAAATTAGCTCAGAATCTCTTTCCGTCATTACGTATTATTATCGTTTATTTCATATTTACTATACTGAACTTGACAAAACTAGATCTTATGTTTATGACCTCAACTTCTTGTACTAGACCCTTCTCGAACACAAAATTACTTCATAAATTCCTTTTGTAATGCTTGGAAATGGAAGTTAGAATTAACGTTGATATCTAAACTTCTTTATGACGTTTCGACTGGATTTACAATATATGATTTGTGCTATGATTAGAGCAACCTAGAGAGGATTGAATAGGTTTATCCGAAACTTTTGATTTGTGCTTTAAATGTGAAGTAATATCCTTTAGTCTCTGTCCTTTGCCAATCTGCCACCCAGAAGTCAAGGTTGCCTTTGTTAGAAACATTCTGAATTTTAATCCATCTTCTTGCAATGAAGTAGGTCGGGATAGGTTGGAATCTTATAAACAACCAAGAATGCGAACTCAATTTTTGTGAACAGATGATTTAACTCGAACTATCACTTAATCCTGTACAGTACAGAACTATAGTGTCTAAAGCTCAATGGCTCAGTGAATATAATCCATAAGACACTATCCTAGAAAACATATATGAAACTAAGAGCAAAGAAAGAATAAACGCAAACATTCAAGATCTGCTTAGAACAACTAAAGAGAAACCTGGTTTAGCACTGCTGCTTACACTAAAACTCAGTAGAAGGTGGCTGAATCTTGATTTTTGAGCATTCATTCAATGTACTGGCCATAGTATAAATTCAAACACTATTATAATTCAAGATATTCTAGGCTCTGTGTCATCCTTGAAGTTCATAGTAATTGGAGTTACCATACATTGTTGCTAGCTTCAAATACTTAGAATCAGATCCCCATCTTGAGATCATTGCCTGCAATAACACCTTCACAGTTAAACAACTGGAATCAAATATAAATTTCTCTTAGTAGATCACGTGACTATCACAGAGTAGATGTATCCGTAATACATTTCTAAGAAAGGTAGAAGCTTCCTTTTTACCGAAACAATCCAAGGTCACTTCCTAATAGCTTAATGAGTCCTTCCATACTAAGCCTACGTTTGGATACAATTTATATATCAGTTTATAAATTCAAAGGCAAAGTCAAATATTAATTTCAACCACACATTCATAACTACTAGTTATTATTATTTATATATTTCGTGAGACCTGCTACTATTTCTTTTACTATTTCTATTTATAAATCATTAATAATTATGCCGAACAGAGGCTAAAATCTGCAATACTTGGTTAAAAATATGCAAGACTTAGGGAGTAACTTACAATACGAGAGAATAGCAAACGTAGCCTGTATGATGGCAAGCACAAGCAAGGTAATAGCAGCAAAGACTGAAATGAGTGCCCATGGACTGTTGAAATATTTTTGCCTTAATACTGCCGTCCATCTATTCCTTCTGCGGCCACAATGATGGTTCACAATTTTGAAAATATTAGAATACGAAAACTCATCAGAAATTATGATATTCTTGCCTAGCTTGTGAATTACATGAAAAACCATTTCATCGCTCCCCAAAAAGTTGCTAATAATTCCGCAACGGCGCAGAAGTTTTGCATCTTCAGGGGAATGGACGAGACAATGCATAAAGAATACATAGTCGGTCACATATTTTTGAGGACTGCCTGTGAGGTAGTACTCATATGCCATCAGATTTCGGAACAATGATTCTGTTGAATCAGAAATTTCCCATTCTGGAATGATCATTGCCTTTTTATTGAATTCAATATGAAATGAACTAATATCTTCCGACTTTTTGAAGGAAATCCCTGCCTCTTTAAGCTCAACAGCTGAATTTACATTCGCCATGTTATCTGTATTTCCAGATTGCAAATGAGATAATATTTTCGCAAATGAAGAACACTGGATGTCATGTACAATGCCTAGAAGATGGTGACCATGAATAGGGACTTCTGGAAGATCATGCACCGGGAAAATCCCATTTTGTAGTAAAGGCGATATTAGATAATTGATGTTGTCCCCATCACTGATCTTGATCATGTTGAACAAACAATGAATGATGAAAAATGGAATCTGATTCTCAAATACCATTAGATCAAGAAGCAATTGGATTTGTATATGCCCATACTGGAAAATGAGGTCATCTTCATCTCTACATTCTGTGTGTTGAAACTTATGGAGAAATTCGATGATAAAACAACCATCAAGAATCAGCATTTGCACGAATTCATCTTCATCAAGTTGGATGTCTTCTGCATAACATTTCCGCGCCTTCTCTTCTAACTGTCTTATAGTGGCAACGCATCTTTCTACACTCGACTCTTTTCTTCTTTCCAGAAGCAACTTTAGATACCAGACTTTGTGCTGCTCCATGTTCTGCAAGTTCTTTTTATCGCTGTGAAATGGACCAATAGCTATTATTTCTGGATTATAAGCCTCTGGATTTATGCTGCGTAAATGATCGCTAACTCTAAACATTGACGACTTTGAAGGTGCAGAAGACAAGCTATTAAGCATATTATCAATGTTAACAGTGACACAGTCTGCTCTTGTCTGAGACATTTTTAATTGTTCGTGGAAAGTCAGAAACAACTACCTTGATTTACCAACAAACTAATCTATAAAATTCTATGCAACCTTTTAACAGAACTTTATTATGGATCGAAAATCCAAAATTTCTGGCTAACTCACATAATCTTTTTCTGAGGATTTCTTGATTAATCAACACTGAATGCCTTGTCAAATGTCAACTCTCCCTATGAATCTTCCCTTCTCGCAGCTTGAAATTTGCCAGCCGATGAGATCTGAAATTGACTAGCGTCTGGGTAAATCGCTATGTGAAGGAATCAAGAAAGATAGGTGCAAACGGAGGGAGTAGAATGACAACTTTTACTGGTAAACTGATCAACGAGTCAACAAAAAAAACTATTGCCCAGGCTGCTGCTTTCAGTCGATCTGTTCTTACCTAGAACTTACGGTGGAAACTACGAGTTTTACTTGTTAACAATTTCCGTACATTGATGCCGATAATATATATATATATATATATATATTGTCTTTTCTCGTTAACACGGGTCAATAATGGAAACTTTGTGGGCCAATATTCAGTTTCTATTGTCTTTTCTCGTTAACACGGGTCAATAATGGAAACTTTGTGGGCCAATATTCAGTTTCTATTGTCTTTTCTCATTAACACGGGTCAATAATGGAAACTTTGTGGGCCAATATTCAATTTCACCCTAAAATATTTTTCGACAAGCCCTTGAATATTTGTTGAAGAAGATGATGGATTTGAAGGGGCAAAATTTTATTTTATTTTATTTTCTTTTTATTTTAATTTAAATATTCTAATTGTTAATATTTGAAAAACAAATATAAATTTATCATTTTAACCTTTCAAATTTGATCAAAATTAGTAAAAATAGGTCAACATTTATTTTTTCCGCTCAACGACGGTCAATTAGACGAAAAAGTTCATCTATCCTTATGCTACAACTAATTAAAGGTTTGAAACCGTGGATGACATAAATAAAAATTTTGAGCGAAATGTTCTAGAAAATGAAAGGTTTGAAATCATTGCTACAGTTCTCCCTAAAATCATTGTGGAAAGTGAAATTCTTAATAGCTAAAATAAAGAAAATAATTGCGGAAAGGACTTTAATGATTATAAAAATGGATTGTTAATAATAGCAGCCAGCACGAATGATTTAAAAAAGTTGAAGTATGTGTGTGCGTCATATGTGTAAAAAGTCTTTATAAATAGATGAAATGTGACTTTTGGGCTAATAATTATAGAGTTTTGCTTAGTGTGCTATACACTTTTACGTTCCCTCACGAGGAGGGGGCTAACCAATTTTTTATTCATGTGGAACCTCTCAACATGTGAGGGGCTTGTACATCATGATGTATACAAATGATTTTATGTTTAATTGTATTAGTTTTGTCTCTTCTCTTTAACATTGGTAAAAAATTGAGACTTTGTCGACTAATATTAACTTTCAACCCTAATACGTGTCGACAAGCCCTTCAATATTTGAAAACGAGTAAACAGTGGAAATGATTTTGTTCGATGATGTTTCATAATTAAGCCCTTGTTTGGGCTCCATTTTAAAGGGAATTCGGGAGAAAATGAGTTTTAGAATAGTGATTTTTTGAAAAATGTGTGGTTGAAAATTTTTCGATTTACATGTAATATAATTTTAGGAAAAAATATTTGATTGAAAAATGAGTTTTGAAAAAATGAACTTTCAAAAAAATGGTATCCGAACATAGACAGAGTTATAAAGGTTGGAACATGTAAACACAGTTTGTCTGGAAACAAGTAAAACAAAACGATAATATTTTAACATAATACTTTTAAGAACCAATGAATTCGTTTAAATGACATCTTTAAAACATATACATCATAAAGTTTATGAATAAAATCATTGTGAAAAAATGGGTTTTACAATAGCTAAAATAGAGAAATAATAGCAGGAAGGACCTTTATCTATCCTTATCTAAAAAGAGAAAATGCGAGGTTTACTGTTCATTTTTGTCATATAGGTTTTCACATTAAATTCGTTTGGAATTGGTTGGGCAACAATAAATATTCTACTCAATCACACTGTAATATTTTTTTCCACACGTCATTTCACTATTTTCACACACCGTTTTACTGCAATGTCACTTCCATTGCAATATTTTCTCATTTTCACACACTACTTATAAGTAAAAAAATATTAAGTTAAAATTTTTTAAGTTAAATATTTAGATATATTTAGTTTTTTAAATTAAACATTAATAAAAAAGATTACACTATCTAGAATGTAAAAAGTTACTTCTGAGTAAAAAATCACTTCAAGTTATTTAAAAGTAATAAAAAAAACTTATAATTTCAACATTTTTAAGTAAATATTATTTAGATATATTAAAATTTTTAAAATTAGAAATTAATAAAAAAATTACTATAACTTAAATAAATCTTAAAAAAAACATGCATAACCACGCCGTGCATGGAGTGGTTATCACTTCATGCAAGGAGTTGCATGGAGAGTGATCATTATCACTCCGCACACGGAATTACTTTTATTTTTTTAATATATATTATAATAATTTTTTATAAATATTTAATTTAAAATATTTACTTAAAAATATTGAAGTTAATATATATATATTTATTTATTTATTTATTTATTTATTTATCTATAACTAGCTTTTACAATTATCAATTTTTTTATTGCTTTTAAATAACTTGAGAAGTGATTTTTACTTATAAGTAACTTTTTACATTCTAGATAGTGTAAACTTTATATTAATACTTATAAGTAGCTTTTACAATTATAAGAGAATGAAGGGTTAATATTTTTTTTACCTATAAGTGGCTTTCATTTTAAGTAAATATATAGATATATTAAATTTTTTAAAATTAAATATTAATAAAAAATTACTATAATTTAAATATATAAAAAAAAACATACATAACCACTCTGTGCACGAAGTGTTTAGTGGTAACCAAGGAGTTGCATGGAGTGACTCTTGCATGGAGTGGCAAATCTATGCACGGAGTGATCACTAAAGGAGTTGCATGGAGTGACTCTTGCACGGAGTGGCAACTCTATGCACGGAGTTACTTTTTTTTTTTTTTTTTTTATTAAACTCTAGTAATTTTTTTATTAATATTTAATTTTAAAAAAATTAAATATATCTAAATATTTACTTTAAAATGTTGAAGGTAATGTTTTTTTTTTATTTATAAGTAGCTTTTACAATTATAACTTTTTTATTACTTTTAAATAATTTGAAGTGATTTTTTCACTTATAAGTAACTTTTTACATTCTAAATAGTGTAATCTTTTTATTAATACTTATAAACATCTATTGCAATTATGAAATTAAGAAGGAGAGATTAATATTTAAGTATATTTTACAATTATAAGTTTTTTATTACTTTTAAATAATTTGAAGTGTTTTTTTACTTATAAGTAACTTTTTACATTCTAGATGGTGTAACTTATAAGTTCGTTTTACTTTTAAGGCCCCATTTGGTACCCTTTTTTTTAAATGCATTTTTCTTTATTTTATCTTTTTAACCACACATTTTTTATTAAAATAATATTACATGTAAATATAAAACCTTTTCTTATTTTTCAACCACACATTTCACATCAATTTACTATGTTAAAATATATTTTTATATAAAAATGACTTTCAACCACCCCCTAAATAACTTGAAGTGATCTATTTAGTGTTTCATTTTTGTCATATTGATTTTCATATTGAATTAGTTTAGTCCTTAGAATCTGACACGCAATACTCTTTTTCCATTTTCTCACGTTATCAACTATATCCTATAATTTTATTAGTAGTAATATTTTTTTAAATAATATTTTGTCGCACTGTAGCTTCTTCTTTTTTTCATTGGTTGAGCAGAAACGACGTCATTTTTTATTTTATCTGCAGCTTACATGTTTTGAATTTTACACACAGTACTCTTTCTCCATTTTCTCACGCTATCAACTATCGACCATATCTTATAATTTTATTAGTAATAATTTTTTTTAAAATAATTTTTTTACATAAAAGTTATTCATTATTTTTAAAATGTAAAAAGTTTCTTATAACTAAAAAGATTACTTCAAATTATTTAACAGTAAAACGAATTTATAATTGTAAAAGCTATTTATAAGTAAAAAAATATTAACTTAAATTTTTTAAGTATAAATATTTAGATATATTTAGTTTTTAAATTAAATATTAATAAAAAGATTACACTGAATGTAAAAAGTTACTTATAAGTAAAAAGTTATTTAAAAGTAATAAAATAACTTATAAGTAAAAAATATTAACTTAAATTTTTTTAAATATCAAAATACTTATAAGTAAAAAGAATTAACTTAAAATTTTTAAGTATAAATATGTAGATATATTTAGTTTTTTAAATTAAATATTAACAAAAAATTACACTATTTAGAATGTAAAAAGTTATTTATAAGTAAAAAATCACTTCAAATTATTTAAGAGAAATAAAAAAACTTATAATTATAAAAACTACTTATAATTTTAAGGGAGTATTAACTTCAATATTTTTAACTAAATATTTAGATATATTTAATTTTTTAAATTAAATATTAATAAAAATTTAATATAATTAAATTAAAAAAATAAAATATCACTTCGTGCATGGAGTGGAATGCATGGAGTGGTTAGATTCCACACACGGAACCACTCTGTGAACGGAGTTTTTTTTTAATATTAAATTTTTATTAATATTTAATTTAAAAAATTAAATATATCTAAATATTTACTTAAAAATCCATGCATAGAGTGAATATTCACTCCGTGCGCAGAGCAAAAAAAATTTTGCTTTTTGGAAATTTTATTTATTTATTTATTTTGTAATTTGTTTTGTTAGCATTATAGATAATTTTTATTCTATTTAAAATTTTTATGAATTCTTTTCTCTTTATTTATGATTGAACTTAATTTTTTCAATTATTTTTTTCTCTATTTGAAAGGAGAATTTTTTTCTATTTAAAAGTTTTTCAATATTAATTTTTTTATATTTAAATTTTTTTCAATTTTTTTCTGTTGGTGAGGGTGGAAATTACTACTTTTTTTGCACAAAGCGGACCGTTAGTTTTTGTTACATGTGTTTTCATGTTCAACTAGTTTGAAATGAGTTTGGTCAAAGTGGTTTGACTTTTTTATTATATTATAAAGAAAATATAAAGTAATATATAATCTATCACTCTTTCAAGTTATACATTCTCCCTCCTTCAATTCAATCAATTTTTGTCAAAAAAGTCCAGCTTTCGTGTACGGAAAAAAACACTCCAAATTCTTTTTTTTCTGTGGGAAAAAAATCGCGTAGTCCTCATGTCAATCGTAGGGAAGAAAACCGTAGAATTTGTGACGATTATCTTTGGATATATTCTTGCAATTTTTTTTTGGTTTGTATTTCGGGTTTTTTCTTGTTTTTTAAGATTTATTTAAGGTACGTAGTTTTTATTTCTGTGTATAG